CTCGTTGCAATGCACTTCACTTCACAATAAACACGTCCGCTCAGTTCGGCCGCTCGCTCGAGAATGGGGCAGAACTATTACACAACAAACACTGAACTATATACACACTGGAAGGGAGCCTATCATGTTAATGATTGATTTCAAGTTTTCTGACCAGGGATGTAACGTCTGCATCTCTTTCTTATATAACGAGCTGGATGTATTAGCTATTCCGCTAGATATAACGCATCCGTACTTTATCAATTTTGCACACAATTTTACCCTTCCCATTTTGAAGGATGCAGCTGTATTATATGTTTTGTGGTTGCAGCCGTTGAACTTTATTGGGCTAAAATTGCTGAGATAAAACTTCCTTGATTGCTGGTAGCGTAGCCACAGAATAAAGGCGTAGCTTATAAAAATAATTTGAAAATGTTAAAATACGGTCCTATATTTGATCAGCTGGTGATTGGCCAGTTATTATTCGTAGTGGAAACCACGCAACCTAGGTATCTGTTTAGAAACCTTGGTTAATGAGTGTATTTGTGTCAAAGGCATAGAAAGAAAGTTATAAGCGGGAAGTATTTGTTTCTCTCTTCATTACGTTACGAGAATTTTACCTTTTTCTGTTGCTAATATTTAAATTTTTATTAATAGTTTACCTTCACATCAATTTCATAACGAAAAGAAATCATTAGAAATATAAAAACATCGTTTATAAGTATGTCGCTCCTAACTTCCATCGTTGAGTGAGAAATAGTCCACTCAACGCTTCCAATGTTAATGAGTGCTAGAGATACGGAAAGCCCTCTCACAGGCTGGTTGCGCATCTTAAAATTTGTCACATTTGCCCTTCCAGGATGTATACAGGTTGTCTCTGAAATAGGTGCGTTCCTTGGAAAGAGTATAGAGGGCATGAAAACGAGCAACTTTTATGAAGCAACTTATAATCTAAATGCTTCTGTTTTCGAGAAAATTAATTAAAAAAACCATAAATGTAAGCCGACCCTGTGCGTCCTGTGCGTTGTGTGTTGCAGGATTACTTAGCCGGCGTATAAAATGTTTTCTGATCAAGAACTACCAGACATGAGGCTTTTTTCGCGAGTGGTTGTATGTTGTAGTATGTGTACTATATAAGTGAATGAAAATATATACTGCCATATGACAACTACGATCAAAAGAGATAGAAATAGTAACTACAAGTCAGATATTCACCAATATTCAGTCGCGAAGAAAGCTTATGATGTTAATGTTCGGAGAATGTCAGTACAATTTAAATGAGACTTCGTCGTTTTGCGTATTTACCCGTATGTGGACTAATTTTGACCGTCGTTTGGAGGCAAGTTTATTAGCACATGGAAACAACTTTAAACAATTTTTGTAGAGCATATTGTCTATTAGTAAATAATTCCTTTATTTGTTTAATTTTTGTGTTACTTTTAAACGATATTTGAATAAATTTCAGCATTTTCGAACACAAAATTTAAACCGTCGAAATCGTCATCAGTGCTTTCACACTGCGGCGCGTGGCAGGTACAACTGGCTGCTACACCAGAGATTTGTTGAAATTCATGTGAAATTTTCTTTTCAATTTAAAACGTAGTATTTGAGACCATCAGTTGCTTAATAAAAGTTGCTCAATTTCGTGTCCTCTATTACCCTTTTCAAGAAACGCGCTTATTTCAGAAAAACGGAACACACTGTGTATAATACATAATATGTATATTTATAAACTTGAAAGGGTTAATCATGGAGACTATACAAGGAGCACGAACCCATGTAAACAAATATCTTACCACATTAGAGGGCGCTAGTGGAGGGGAGTTAAAGCGGCAGTTTGAATTAAAAATTAATCATGCTATTTTTGTGATGTATTAAAACCTTTAAAATAAATAATGTAGACTACTTTGAATTAGATAAACAAATCAATAAATAATGAAGAAAATATGGGTGTACAAGCAACAGTAGCGACCCTAGCGGTAAAAACTATAAGCAATGTCAACTATTTCATTGACAAATTTTGTCAATTTTCCCGTATGAGTTCGAGTTCGTGCTCATTGCACAGCATATTGCCACAGCATTGCTGTTATGCTGTGCTCCTTGTCTACTCCATAGAAAATGTCTAGTCTCCCTGGGGTTAGTGATAGAGTATACACCAGGATAAATGAAATAGAAATTCCTGTTTGGAGTACTATTATTGTCACTGTTCTTTAATTAGCATGTGAATTCGATATTTAATTTGTAGCGTAGTATTTCATTTTTACGTATGTGAAAAATTTGTTTATTTTATTAAATTTGTAGGTAATTAAAATATTATATTTTACATTAAAATGTATATTTTCTTTCTTAAAATATTTATGTACATAATAGTATAAAATACATCAAACCATATATTTAGATCTGCCGCTTTAAATTAGCGATACCTACCTATGTTTTTGTTTTTACTATTGTCTTTTTCAAACTGTAAATTTATTGGTGTACCTACTGGTAATAATAAATACACAGTTGTAAAGACAATAAGTAAAAATTATGTAAGTCGGTATATTTTTACAAAATTTTAAAAGTATTACGTTAAGTCAAACTGTATATTTTTTCTAAAGATGAACGCGAAAAAATAACTAGTACAAAGACAATTCTTTTTGTTTATACATTTTACTTGGAAGTGGTTTAAAAAAAATTTGATATAACATTGTCATATATTTACAAGTTACTTAATACTTATTGGACCATAAAAGTACAGAAGTACATAAATATTTGAATTAGAAATATACAAAAATCAACGTTAAGACATATCCATGTTTACAACAAACACTGATTTTTGAGAGCTCTCTACTAATTACTTTACAAATTTCAATTCTCAAATTGTTACTAAATATCAATATTTAAATTAATCACAAATAGCTATAAGCACTTTTCAAATAAAAATTAGGTACATCACAAATTTCCTTCAGGCGAAAATACTAATAAAAATACGTTAAATAATTGTATAGTTTCTAACTCCTTTCTATATAAAATCTAAAATCGAGTACAAATGTAAACTTCGAACTTTCATTTTTGGCATATATCCTTGTAATTGGTTGTTAAATAAAAGGACTATTTTGCAACCGATAAGAAAGAAGCGAAATTTGTATCTGAAAACTACTTAACCGCCTTAATTCAATAATTCTGCAGGAAAAATTATTTCCTGTAATATTATTGACAGACCATGTATCTTTATATCCTACCATCTATCGTTAGGTACCATATTTATTAATATTTATTACAGTTCGTTTCCGTCTATATCAGTTGAAGCCCCCTGGCCACAATAATTATGTCGAGAATACAATATAAGTTGATATGATTTGTTGAATATTCATATGATACCAATTATTAGTTTTGATCTAAGGACGAAAAATATATTTAAGTGTGCTTGTTATTTATTCTTTTACATAACAGGTGTCGCTGAATTGAACATTGTGTCTCCTTATTTTGGAGTGCCGTTCGTTTTCTTATTTATTTTTGTAATATACAGTTTTATTCAAAATTATTTTCTTTGTTTCGAGGAAAAACGTAGGTATGTTTATATTATAATGTATTGACAGCAGCATAAAAAAGTACCAACTTGATGTACTCTAAAAAAAAGTCGTTCAATTTATACAATAAAAATATTTAATTGTGGTAATATGTGGTCTATATCTTTTATGAAATGTAGTCATTCCTGTTAAAAATGTTTGCCTGTGTTTAAATTTACATAATAGTCCAATTAAATGGGCCTTTAAATCGCAATTTTGGTCCACTTGCCTGAATTTTTTATGTAAGTTAGTTTGAGGTACCTATACATATATATTTTTTTCAATCTACTCTTAAAAATGTAAACTTTCTTTTCAGAGAAATAGATATATTTTTCTAATTTTTAATAAAAAAATTTATATTAATTTCAATTTTTTAATCGTTAATTTTAATGATTTAGCAACACTAAAACAATTTTTTTTTCTATACCAATCGATTGATTATTTAAAATAATGGAAAGTTGCTTTCGAAATTTTTTTCACCCTTGTTTTTTAGACAGATACAAATTTATTTACCTTTTTACCTTTTGAATATTATTCAGCTCCTACGACACTGCCAAGATAAAGATGAAAAATCTTGGTCGCATTCATTTTACCGAAGTCGTGTACAGTAGCTACAACTCGTTGGAATATAGATGTGACGCATGCGCATTAACAAAGACAACAATAATGTGTGCGACAATAGACTTACCTATATCTAAAGTAAATAAGGTCGAAAATTGATCTAGTAAATATATTGAGAAATTCTTCATGACAATGTGCACTGTGGTATTGCCCATATGACTAAATAAATAAGACTCGTGAAAAGGATAGGAAGAGCAGAATCATGAAAGCACGAGCGCCACCTCACAATGGGTCTGGAAAACACGCCATCGTTAGCACTATTTATGTATCGAAAACTGTAATACTAACTTGAACAGAAAAGTAATATTGGTATTAGAACCTATAGAGTTCGCTGGAAAAATTAAAAATTTGATGATATTACATGTATTCTTTCGTGCAGTAGCCGAACAAACTGATTGCAATCGGCAACTAGCCAATCATAATACAGCATTTTTAAAATTCTTAATCATGATTGGTTCTTTACTGATTTCAATAACTTCTGTTCAATACGAAAGAATGGGTGTATTGAAGATTAGGTCACAAAGGGGATGTGTTCTGTACTGTGGATTAGGTTTGAGGTTATTTCTTCTCTATGTTGTATTATTGTGAATAATTAACTCATAAGTTAACGCGCTAGTGCTTTTGATAATAATTGTTTTCTATTTTAGACAAAATTTAATGTAACGCAAGAAGATAATTATAATTGTTGAATCGTTCATCTGAATTGTCTTACTGCTTTTGCTTGTTTTACTTTTTAAAAGAAAATGTCTGGGATGATCTCACATCACTGTTGTGCATCAAACTGTAAGAATACATATTATTTATATACCCCTTATACTTCTTACAGAAATAAAAGCTTTTTCAGAGTTACTGCAGACAAGGAAATGATTTGGATAGAATCAGTTCACAAATTATGTAAACCAGATTTTAACTTCATCAACGAAAAATGTTACTTTTGCGAAGACCACTTTGAATTAAAATGTCTTGGAAATAGTAGGAAGAATAGCCTCAACAAAAATGCAGTGCCAACAATATTTTGTGAATCAAATAGTATATCATCACATTTAGATTCTCTTAATAGTAACAGTTACTTGAAAACTACTCTAAAGTCAGTTAAACAGTTTGTTAGTGAAACATTAGAAAATGCCGAAATTAATAAATGCCAAACATCAATGTTAGATGATTTTTCAGAACCACCATTTAAAAAACCAAAATACACTTATTCCAAATTGCCATCTCTAAATACCACTGCAAGTACTAGTACTGTTATTTTTGACGACACCATGCCGGATGAAGTAGATTCAAATACTGGTGTAAGTACTTCACATAATACTTCATTTTGTCAAAACTTCACTTGTAAGTCGAATAGTAGACAACAAAAAACGTTTTTAAAATCTCTCAATGTAAAAAGCGTCTCAACTTTCAGATAAAAATAAAAAGTTTTATTATTTAGACCGTAAACAAAAAAAATTTTAAATTAAAAACAAAATTATAAAGTGTAGAAATAATTTGTCCAATGTTTGTAATATCACTTATTCAAGGTTATTCACAGATTTATCTCAACGTCTCGATCCTATTGGAGTAAAATTTATTGAATCACAAATTACTAATTGCAAAAAGAAACATCCTATACAGGGTGATTCAGTCATAATGTAATTAATTTTAAGAGCAGATAGAGAAGAATGAGTATAATACGATGGCGTGATTAAAAAAAAATTTAAATGCATATTTAAGCTGGAAAAAAATATTTTCAAATCATTATTTAACCCCCTTTTCNCAAATTTAGTGATTCTCGTACATGATTTTGATATGGCAGATTTAAGGGGGATGTAACACCGAAAGAGGGGGCCAGTTGGCAAAAAGAAAAAATACGGGTCTCCTAAATTTGTCTTCAGAATCTATGACCAAATTTTGTTGCATGAATTTCAGGACACCTTGTATGTACACAAGTTCATAAATTTAATTAATAAGAACAATTCTATTCACAAACTATATATTTTCTATTACAACTGTTATCTAAGCACAAAAAAACTGAAAGTTGCTGGATAAAATACAATCTTTTAACAGAAATGTTTAGACTTGACTGAATGATAAATAAAATTATCAATCAATCAACTAATCAATGAACACAATATACGTATCTAATTATAAGATGTCATTTCGGTTTCATATTTTCTAAAAATTAGTATTTATTTTTACAAATGCAATTTTGCAATTACTTCATTACTATGGCATATAAGCATATAATGGTAAGCAACTTTTTTGAATATTTTATCAAATAAGTTTCCAACAATATACACAAATTCTGCTGTGTGAAGTGATTCCACAGGTAAATCACTAACTGAAAAAAATTTCTATTTTAGCGGCAACTGTTTGATTCAGTTATTATGCAGCAACTTTAACCTGAATTTTTTGAAAACTATCGTTGAATTTTTGAAAATAATTTTAATTTAATTTACAAAGTAATATACTACAACCTATTTATAGCTTGTGCAAACGCCTCTTATCATAAAAAGTAAGACATATTTGTCCGTTTATTTCCTAAATCTTCAAATCCACAAATACTTTGTTCATTATTTTCATAATAAAACCCTGAACTTAGACTTATTCCATCAAAAGCAAGAGAGTTGATTAATTTTGAAAAATTTGTCACATCGGATATCATTTTATAGTTACAGTATAGCATAGAGGAAAATTATTATCAAAATTAGAAATTTTCATTACATCATCATGGATATTAACAAGGGCACTACTCGAACAACAGGGACTGTCTTGAGCCGTTAAAGGAAAATTTATACTAAACGATAGTAATTTATTAGGGTCCGGTTGTTGATCAGACACTTCACTATTCATCATCACTTGAACGTACTGAAAGTTTTGGGTTTTCGGTACAATCCTATTACTAATTTGGAGACAAGCACAGTCAGAGTCTATAAAATGACTATAATTTCCATTTCCTACTTCCCTTGCCATGAGGCTGTATTTTCCCAGTTTCCTGAAGTCTTCTTTCTACTGCTGAAAAAGTCTGTCTGTGGTGAACTGCTTTTTCTTGCTACGGCAGTTTTTCCAACATTCAAAAAATACTCGCTTCATGTCAACATTTTCATCACCAGTAAAATTATTTGCCATAATTCTTCCCGTTATCATAAATAAAATAAAATTATGGAGTAGCAAACTCCAAGGAAGCACCCACAAAAGATCTAATGATAACATGACAGCCGCCTGCTTATATATTTCTTAGTTGCAATCGTGTGAGCTGTAATGCAAAATGCAAATGATAATGAATTTAATTTTTTTGTTAATTAACAATTAGTTTTAAAGCAAAAAAAGTGAGATCTGATATATATTTCTGAAAATTCAATTTTTGTCAAATAAAAATGTTGTAGTAAAAATAACTAAGGGCTACTTATTTTAACCTGCTAAATGGAAAAAAAATTTCAACAAATTTTTGAGAAATTGCACATGCATTAGTAAAAAAAAAATAGTGTAAAATTTGACTATTATACCTTTTTTGGTTTTCAAACTACAGCTGTATCTCCTAAGGGGTAAACATTTTACTAAAGTCATTTTATGCAAAACGTGTTCCTTTTAGCTGCAGTTTCACCGGTACCATTTCTGCTACTTCGTTTGACAACATCTTCTATAATCTTATTGATCACATCTGCAAGTAGTTAAATTTCTTCCATATCTACCTACAATTATGAATAAAATTAATAAAATATGTCATCAAACAGAATATGACATATAAAAACAGACAGAATTTCGATTAAGTGCAGTGACTAATGAAATTCTGACCACTGTTCTGGTTCTCAAACTTGGTATGTTTAATTCAAATTTTCAATAACTAGTTCTTCAAAGTGACATATATTTACTTACCTTTTTGCCAATACTTCCAACTTTTACAGATTTTATATTTACTATAAAAAAAACACAAGTCAAGCTAAACAAACGTCAATTTCACAGTGTGGAAACTGGAAATGGAAGTTAGTAATAAAATTAAAGGCACTAGATTTTACATAGTGAAAAAACTAGTATGTATGTACCACATACTTCTATAGAAGTATGTGGTATGTACCTATAATAACAAACGAAACAGACTTAAAGCTTAAAGTTACTTCCTTTTCCACACCACCAGCCTCATGTGCCTAGAAAAGGTCCATCCCCTCCCTGTTGCGAATAAGGCAATGCTAGTTGCATAGCCATGGGTGTACTTACTGGTAAATAATAAATACACAGTTATAAAGACAATAAGTAAAAATTAAATAAGTCGATATGTTTTTACAAGATTTTAAAAGTATCAAACTGATTTTTTTTTCTAAAGATGAACACGAAAAAACAACTACTACAAGAGAATTTTCTGTTTCTACATTTTACTTGGGATTGGTTTAAAAAAATTGATTGTAATATACATATTTATAAGTTACGTAACATTTATTGGACCATAAAAGTACAGAACTACATATTTATTTGAATTAGAAATATACAAAAATCACTGTAAGACATGTTGATGTTTACAACAAATACCTAGATACTAATTTTAGAGAGCTCTCTACTAATTACTTTACAAATTTCAATTCTCAAATTGTTACTAAATATCAATATTTAAATTAATCAAATAGCTATAAGCACTTTTCAAATAAAAATTACAACACGAATTTTCTTCGGGCAAAAGTACTATTAAAAATACGTTAAGTAATTGTATAGTTTATAGTTCTATATAAATTCTAAAATCGAGTGCAAATGTAAACTTCGAACTTTCATTTTTGGCATATATCCTTGTAGTTGGTTGTTTAATAAAAGGACTATTTTGCAGCCGATAAGAAAGAAGTGAAATTTGTATCTGAAAACTACTTAACCGCCTTAATTCAATAATTCTGCAGGCAAAATTATTTCCTGTAATATTATTGACAGACCATGTATCTTTATATCCTACCATCTATCGTTAGGTACCATATTTATTAAAATTTATTACAGTTCGTTTCCGTCTATATCAGTTGAAGCCCCCTGGCCACAATAATTATGTCGAGAATACAATATAAGTTGATATGATTTGTTGAATATTCATATGATACCAATTATTAGTTTTGATCTAAGGACGAAAAATATATTTAAGTGTGCTTGTTATTTATTCTTTTACATAACAGGTGTCGCTGAATTGAACATTGTGTCTCCTTATTTTGGAGTGCCGTTCGTTTTCTTATTTATTTTTGTAATATACAGTTTTATTCAAAATTATTTTCTTTGTTTCGAGGAAAAACGTAGGTATGTTTATATTATAATGTATTGACAGCAGCATAAAAAAGTACCAACTTGATGTACCCTAAAAAAAAGTCATTCAATTTATACAATAATAAATATTTAATTGTGGTGATATATGTGGTCTATACCTTTTATGAAAAATAGTCATTCCTGTTAAAAATGTTTGCCTGTGTTTAAATTTACATAATAGTCCAATTAAATGGGCCTTTAAATCGCAATTTTGGTCCACTTGCCTGAATTTTTTATGTAAGTTAGTTTGAGGTACCTATACATATATATTTTTTTCAATCTACTCTTAGAAATGTAAACTTTCTTTTCAGAGAAATAGATATATTTTTCTAATTTTTAATAAAAAATTTATATCAATTTCAATTTTTTAATCGTTAATTTTAATGATTTAGCAAGACTAAAACAATTTTTTTTTCTATACTAATCGATTGATTATTTAAAATAATGAAAAGTTGCCTTCGAAATTTTTTTCACCCTTGTTTTTTAGACAGATACAAATATATTTACCTTTTTACCTTTTGAATATTATTTAGCTCCTACGACACTGCCAAGATAAAGATGCTGCTACTTTTTGCTGCTTTTCAGGAAGTCTACCGCTACTTTATAAATACTGGTGAAAAGACTAATGTAGGTAGGTTTTTTACAACAAAATGTATTATACCCCACATCTGAAAAATTTACAAAAAAATTACTACGATTTTTCAGTAAATATACCGCTACTTTACAAATATTGGTGCAAAGATTAATAATGTTGCCAGCTTACACACGGGTCAGATTTGGTCTGTACAATTTCAACTACCTATGATGACAATATGTTGCGGGTTACGGGTTGCCTATATATGTGAGATGACACCTTAGATTAGGGTCACACTAAAGTGTCTATAAGGTATAAGCCTATTGGTAGGTATATAGGAAACATAAGACGGGGCAATCTATATTTTTTTAAATTTGTGTTTGGATCACAATTTGTGGTGGCATCTATGATTTCTGCACAGAAATTTTCGATAATATCGAGAAATAGGGAGCTTTATGCCATTAGAAAGACCGTCAAATGAGCTCTTCAAAAATATATTATAACTACATGATACTTATCGTTTACGGTTTTCAAGATATTACATATTTATTGTTAATAGGTATGAAACATTACTATAGTAAGCCATGAAATGTTCATTTGTTAAAAATCGTATTCCTAATTAAAAATATTTAATTTCATATATTTCATTCAATATTTTACTTATTTGTTGAAAAAAATATATTTTCTTTAAAAATATCTCATGTTTCATGACAATACAGTAATAATAATAATAACTACGTAATATTTTGAAAACCGTAAAAGACAATTGTCATGTATGATATATTTTTGAAAAGCTCATACAGGGTATTCCATTAAAAAAAAAAAGTTAGGCATGCATCTCGGAAACGAGATAGGTAGGTATCCAATTGTTTTTGCGATACATGTGTTAAAAAATATTTAGTTCCTAGAATCGCTTCAAAAGTTATTAAAAAAAGAAAATTAATATTATAACGATTCTATATGATAGTTAAAGAGTCCAAGTACGTGTAAAAAAAAACAGCGAAAATTAAATTAATTAATGCCTAACTTTAGCACTGACGCAAAAAAATAACGACATTTCGCGCTAAAATTTAGTAACAAATTGTTTCATACCAAAACTATCAGACCGATTTCGATCGGGTTTTGGGATTTCCTTTTGTAATCCTTTAACGTACTTAGATCTACATTTATAGTAGAATTGGACAATTTCTTACCTATCAGTTGTACGCTTGAAAATTACCTCGATTCTTCTTCTGCTGTTTTGGCTTTCTAGCAACAAAAATATGAAATGCGCAGGTATCAAAACAATTCCGTCTTATAGCAAATTTCATAACAAACAATTTCAACAGTAATAGTTTTTTCTGTAAACTGCATATTTAAGAAGTTATATCGAAAAATGTTAGAAAAAACACGTGATTTTTAAGTATTTTTGCAGTTTTTATTTTTTCTTGGCGCAACCTTATATTTTCATTGTTTATATTGTTTTCGACCGATTTTTACTAATATCTAATCTACGTCAAGCAACAGCCATATCTCGAAGGTTTTGAGCTTAATTCTCTTGGACTATCTGTACAATTTCAACTACCTATGACAATATGTTGCGTGTTGCGGGTTGTCTAAATATGTGAAGTCACACTAAAGTGTCTAGGAAACATAAGAGGAGGGCAATCTATATTTTTTTAGATTTGTGTTTGGGCCACAATTTGTTGTGCCATCTATGATTTCGGCACAGAAATTTTTGATAATTTCGAGAAATCATTAAAATTAACAATTAAAAAATTAAAATTGTTATCTTTTTTATTAAAAATAAAAAATATATCTATTTTTCTGAAGAGAAAGCTTACATTTTTTAGGGTAGACTGAAAAAAAATTTTGTTCAATCATATTTCTGATTTATTAAAATTTCTGAAATCATTTCTTAATTTCTGGCCCCTCTAACTCTGTTAATTTTAATAGTAGAAAAAAAAAGTCAATAGTAAATTTATATGTAGAATTTTATGCTCTACAACTTTCATAAGAAACTTTTTTTTTCTAATTCTTACCCTATCTGAGTTATCTTGAAAAAACTCTTTATTTTATTGTTTTTTTCACCCCTGGCCGGAGGTTGAAAAAAATTACCGTCACTTATTGTTATTATACATACCTCAAACTAACTTATATAAAAAATTCAGGCAAGCTTACCAAAATTGCAATTTAAAGGCTCATTTAATTGGACTATATGGTGACATTGAGGAACTTTTGATGATACCGTTGGTTGACCAATATTCTGAATATTTATAATATTTATATATTTTATATTAGAATATATATTTAAAAAAAAAAAGTTAATAATATGTAGTCAGTCAATTTTTTTAATTCTAATATAGCTAATTTTTCTGTCTTATTTGGCTTACGCTAAATATTTCCTAATCAGAATTTCAGTTAATTATTATACCCCGGATCGGATTTTGTTTTACTTTTAATTGAGTGATTTCTTGTGTGCAAACAAAAGCTGTTTACTATATAAATTTGAAGGTATAACCGGCTACAAACCCAGTTTACACAGGCGTAAATTCTTGAGATTTCAAACAATATTCGAATATTGATATAATACTATATTGAGTAGGATACATAGGAACAGGGTGTTCCAATTAAAAATTCCCACCTGGAAAATATCGGAATAAAAAAAAACAAAAGAAACTGAGACAGACTGTATAAATATGACTCCACTCAATGTTGCACCTGTATAGGTATCTATAGTCAGCATTGAGGAACAGGTTTCATGTTCCCCGATAGCACCTATGTATATGAAAATTCCATCTACTTGTACGTAATTTATTTTTCAATATGTATTCACATTTGAACATGCTGTGTTCCCAATAATAGGTATAGCGTTTACAGTTTTCAGATGTCTATCACGTATCACTATCATATCCCACATGTCAATGTATTTTAAAATTTTAGACAACTATATTCCATGAAATATTAATTTTTTTAAATATATTGTGGAGAATGGCAATTAAAATACATGTTACAAACCCTTGATATTTGGACTTATGAAGATGTACATACATAGAGGGTGGGAAAATTTTTATTTATTGACTGACTGACAATGAAACAAAACTATTATGTTAGAGTTGTAAGAGTATAATTCCAATGATTAGTACAAAAGCGAATTTTTTTTATTTTAATTTTACTAAAAAAGTATGACAATTTACAGTAGGTAGGCATTTCTGAAAATTGCGAAAAATGTTAGAGCAAAATTTGACAAATGCATAATTTGTTGTTTTCATCGATGGTACAATTCTGTTTTAAATCTAAAAAAAAAAGTTAAAAAGAGTGCATATAGAACCGGCCGGACAATATCTACTTCTGTGAGGAGAGGTGGTTTTTTAGGAATAGAAGGTTTGCTTCATATTGAACAATACTTACATACCTATTCTCCTGCAATTTAGTTACGACATACTTACCTAGTTTATAACAAATTTTATTATGTTAATGCAAATTCAAGTCGATTTATAAAAAATAAAGATCTTTTATAACTATTTTTTATTAAGAATCTGTAAAAATTAAAAAAAAAGAAAATTAAATTTTTACTTGGTTTACATGAGTATGACAGAAAAAATAAATAAAAAATAAAACTAATTAAATTTATATCTTATATTTTAACTCTAACCAAATAAATGAAAATTTTTGTAAGACAATGCCGACCTACAAATTTTATTAAGCATTACCCTATGGAAATTATATTCCTACCTACCTACTATGCACCGTGATCAAAAATGACAATATCCTCAATATCGAATGTTTCGAAATAAGGTATTCGAAATGAAGTCGAATATAAGGGACCAATCTTCAGTGGCGCTATAGATATGTGATTATGTGATAAAATTAATTTTGGTATATAAGATAAACTGTTATATGTTGTTATCGATCGATAGTTATTCATAATTAGAAAGGCAATCTGGCTTCCAAAAAACTACAGCTTGGGTACTTAAATAGGTATAATTTACAAATTTATATTATATCTATATATATAGTTAAAATGGAGGAACTATTCTAATGCCCCTCAATGCATTATATTTTAATTATTTTTTTGCATACCTATGTATATTTAAAAAAGATATACAATTCTGTAGATATATATCTAACTAATAGGTACTTATAACTTATAACTATAAAGTAAGTTTGGTTTTAATATGTATATGTAGATATATTCTGAATGTGATGTCCTTTTCTAATCATAACTGATGAAAAGAGAAATAGATGTACCTAGAGCATATAGATTTGTTTATAATAATAAGTTTTCAAATTTTTAACAAGAATTTTATTTACTTTAATTTTTATAAAATATCTTGTAGAAACTGGCAAATAATTGAAAACTGCTATCAAATATCATGGGCTTACGAAGTCATTTGGTGTGAGCGAACGGTATCATTACATTGCCAAGAGCAGAATAACAGTACAAAGAAAGCAACTACTTTTTTGGATCTAAATTCCTATCAATAATTTATTATTTGGCAACAATGAACCGAAAAGTGACAACAACGCTCAACGGCTCAACTTGCCGGATGGATATTCTGTCAAGGTCAAATAACTTGTGTTTTTACTAATATTTTTTGTACCTACACATCATGGAGACTGTACAGTGTACACACATTAGCGTCATCTCATTCTGCCAACCACTCACTGCGCTAGGCTGTCTCTTTCTACTTCCCTTTCTACATTTTTTGGGAGAGTGGAATGTGGGGGGCTGCGCTGATTTTCATTTATTTTACAATTATTATTTGTTTGATTTGCATGTGAATGAATTATTTACTTATAGGTAGTACTATTCGTGCAAAATAACCGTTTGGTTTTCTGTACCTAGATTTGTTTTCTAGTTTTGTAAATTAGTTGACTTTTACAGACATTTTGCATTATAAGGTAAGTAAAATTTGTAATTATTGTAGAAAAACTGTAACTACATTAGGTACCTACTCTGATTTTTTTGTTTTAAAAAGTAATATCAATTTCCTATTTGAAATAGAAAAATAGTTAACATTTTAATGTTGAAAGATAAATAAAAAATTATGTTATAATATTAGGTAGGTATTTATTACTGCCTATATGTGGTCTGCTGTGAATGGCAAATAAATTAGTTAATGTTTTTGTATGTGTTGATTGAGAAATTAGTTTAGTAGGCTAGCAGGCATGTAGAATTTAACAAAATATTAGAATAACTAGGAATAATAAAATATGGCTTATTTATTGTTTTTTTTTTTTAAGGTCCATTATTTTTCTATTTTTATTTTCAGTGGAAAAAAAGTTATCTAAATGCCACAAAAAAAAACTTTCAGACAATATTTTGTTTATTCTTCTTTATATTGTTTTAGGTAGACCTATATACTAAAATGAAAATTGAAGAAAAAGAAAACAAATGCAGAAACATACGTAGGTATTCTTTAGTTTTGTTTGATGATGGTATTTCCACATATGTTCTACAAAAGACAAAATCAAGAACAAGTAACGACTTATCAGTTCTGTGAAATGGAACTGGAAGAGGAATATTTAAGGCCAAACTTATTAAACAGCACTCCATAAAAGAGCAACTTAATAAGCTGAAAAGAAGGTTAATTGAAAACTGTAAGTATTAATATACTTTATATTGTATGCACTGTTCAATACATTTTATGTCTACTATTTAATTCTCATCAATTCCATGTAGGTACCTGAGTAAATATATTTTTAATTTCAAAATTTTTTTATAACTAAAATAAAATGTCGACAGGCTTTAAAGGAACTTTTTTTTATTTATCATCCAATTAGATTAAATTTGGTCATTTTATCTTGAAACATATTACCTATAGAATTTTATAGATGGATGTGTCCAAAATAAGCTGTATTCTGATCCGAGTAAAGATTTTAAAGCCACTGAAAAAAAATATCTACAACAAATATATGTGTTAGTTTTGTTTGATAATAATATTTATCACATTTATGTTCTATAAATGATATCAAAAGTAGAGTTGTGATGAATTGACAGTAGACTTAGTAGACCACTAATAATTTTTAGAATATTTTAGCTAACACTGTTCTCTTTTAAATTGATTGCATTATATCATATGTCTTCAAGTACAATAAGAGAACTATTAAAGTGTCCAAGGTTCATACCATTGACAATCTGAAGTATAATTAATTTCAAAAAGTAGTTTTTTTGACAGATAATGTTCAATGTTCAGAAAACAATTTTTTTGGCATTTTTGGAGGCACAACTTTTCAGGTGACGGCTTTTTAAAAAAATTTTATACCAAAGACCCCTATTAATTTTCATTAGAGAATAGCCCCTTACATTTTCCGGTGTTATTTAGATACACCCTGGTTAACTTTTACTCACCATATTTCTATACTAAAATAAAGTTTTGAGAATAATTTTTTCTAAATAAGGTAAACTATTCTATTCTGACATTGAACAAATTATATTTATTAAAAGTGAAAATTTGTGTTCTTGTGAAAATAATTTAATCATTTTCTCTTTACAGATAATGAATCTGTCATGGCAGAAGATGTTTGCTTATCTCCTGCAAATGCTGCTGCTGGTGAACAACAATTGACATTCTTCCTATTAGCCTTAACTTGGACCGAATAAAAGCTTCAAGATGAGATCTTCTATATTTGTTACAAAATTTATTTCCATGTACAATAACTAATTCATCATACCTCAAAATACGAGACTTCGTCATCTCTGAATTTTGGAAAAATTTTATTTTTTAAAACAATTTCTGCTTTTTTATGTATTTGGCCGTGAGTTAAAAATGACAAAGTAAACAAACTTCTATTACACTTTTTAGAATTAATATTGCCTTTACGGTAATGTCTTCTTATTGACAGTTTTGAAAAAAACTCTGCAATTAGGACATACTTTGTAATCAATATCCCTTTTTTTCAATTATTGGGTCTTCTGCTAACTAAAATAGTCTAAGATCCCAACTTACAATTAGATCGATGTTCACCGATCGAGTTTTCTAATGAAATTTGAATTTTGATATATTGTAATGTAATAAACACAACTTGATTTGGTCGACATCAAATTTCCCTGCACAGCTATTTTTAATAAAAAATTAAATTTCGATTCAATTCAAAATTAAAGTCAAATTCAAAGTTACCTGTTTATACCTATCTACTTCGTTTTATGCAAGGAACAAAAATGTCGACCAAACTTCGGCATATTGTATACATATTTACCTTCGATTGGTAATAAATATATCCAAAAACTCAATAACTACATTCACGAAAAAAATTAACAACTTTAATTTTTTTATTAAAAATAGCTGTGCAGGGAAATTGGATGTCGATCAAATCAAGTTTTGTTTATTAATACTTTATATTATCAAAATTCACATTTCATTAGAAAACTCGATGGGTGGAAGGTCGATCTAAGTCGGGATCTTGTACTATAAGTTGCCCATTATAGATTTTTTGTGTGTTAAATAAAAAATCAGAAATAGAAAAACGTTTGATTTCACCAGCTCTGCGCCTATTAAATATCTGAACTGATGTTAATGTATATTTTGCAAGATTTAACCAAATATTAAAATCAAACTTATTTGTAAGTATATCCAAACATTTGTTACGGTTTGTATTAAGATAATTATTCAACAATTTAATATCGCTCAAGCTGGGTAATTTAATTTTCTTGATTCTTCTATTTTCTCTGATTTTCTTAAACTGTTTTATTAACTGATGATGCTAAATCTTCTAGAATACTAAGAAAATTTTTAGTTGTTGATTGGCCTGTCATTTCCTTTTTTATAAACTCATTAGAATCTTCATTTAGAAGTGCAACTTTATTTACTGCTTTTATTATATTGTAATAGGCTGGATTAAACAACGAAGCAAAATCTGTAATTAATGGATTAATTTTTTTAACAGCAATTAACATTCTTCCTATTAGCCTTAACTTGAACCGAATAAAAGCTTCAAGATGAGGTCTTCTATATTTGTTCTACAATTTATTTCCATGTACAAACTATATTTATGGATCCATGTTTATATAATCCTTTTTGGTTTAAAATCACTGAATCAGCCTGTAAGTTTACTGATGTACTATTTAACACATTTTGAAAATATATTCAATGCACTAGAAATATTGTTTTATTAATTAATCTACAACCTAAACAATAACACCTATACAACCTACACAAAACAACTCTATATAATAAATGTTTACATAAGTAAAAGGGCCCCATTTCAAATTATTTCACTTAATAGTTTTAAAATTATTTAAAAAAATTACAAATATTTTTTTTAAATTCAACATCTTGTCTTTTTAATGAAGCGTCCTAGATAAAAACTTTATACGAAGGACCCCTTAAAATTCACCAATGAATACGAAGTTCATTTTTGGTCATCGTTTCTGAATCACCCTGTATATGTTACAAGGCTGTGGATGTAATGTATGAATATATCCTTAATTTTAAAGAAACTAAATACATTCGTTGCATACATTGAATTTACGGTTCGACTATAAATAAGTAATATATTAAACAACAAATTACATTTATTGTATAGAGTTGTTTTAATAATGATTGTCATACATGTCAAATTAAATATGGAATTACTAATGTTTTTGTTGCTGATTGTTTTTTTTTAGTGATAAGATATATATTTATTTTAACCTTAATATTAACCTCACCTACATAATCAAATATGGAACAATGCTTTTCTGACAAATCATAAAAAAGTGCAGATCAGATGAAAACAATTTAAAATTGGCGGCACGTAATTACAACATAAGATGATTTAAAATTGGCGGTATGTATGCACCACGCCCACCTTTTCCTGATTGGAGGACACTAATTCAATATTTCAAAACACCTTTAAATGCCTAGTGGGTTGCATGCCTCCATTATACAGAAATATTTTTAGTCGACTAATCTGACAGAAAAAATATCCAAGAAGTAGAACAAAAATGTATAAAATATAAGTCAAAATTTTTGTGTGGTTCGCAAAAATCAATTTTGTATAAGTTTTTAAAATATACGCTTTGAAGAAATGCTCGAGTAGTGGGTAGGTATTTTATGTAGGAAAATTAAAAAAAAACATTCTGAAATACATTATGAACGTAGCAGGAGTAATTCAATGGTAAAATTGGATTGGACTAATAAATTCAGGAAGTATTTCTAACGATACTAAGTGCAAAACAATGGAGACATTACACCTAGTTATTCCATGACTAATGATCAGAGAGACTAGATATGTAGTCTCCATGCGAATGATGATGGCAAGTATTACAAAGCATGGATAAGAATATGTAATAAACAATGAACCAAGACGACTTTTCTGTATATGATATGTAAACAATTGGAATTACAGGGAGACAAGAAAAAAATAAAAGTGGAAATTAAGTAATCTATATTGGATGCAACAAATTAAAAACTAATTAAATGTGCAACAATTATCTTAAAATTATAGTACCTATTACTTTTAGGAATTATTTTCAGCCAAATAGAATGCAAATGTGGACACAATTATAGGAAGAATGTGGTAGTAAACACTATGTACATGGAAAATAAGTACTGCACACAATATCAGATAACATCTTCAGATGATAAGTTGAAAAATTTGTGTTTATTACTGTTTATCATTATCAATCTGAAAGTGAGCATGTTTTTGTACTAAGGTAATTCTGTTTTAGATGATGTAGCAGCCTTGGAAAAAGGAAGCAGAAATTGAAACAATTAGTAAAAATTTCTCGGTCTGTCAAACAAAAAATAACATGGAATAATAGCAGTGTATTATAGGACTTCATAACTTATTTAATATTAATTACTTAGGTAGAGAACAAAGATCTTGTTTTCTTTTCTCCTAAAAAATAATTATGAATGCTTTCTTTTTCATTAGGAATATTTTTTGTTGTATTCTGCATTTATGTTATTTTGATATATATCCATTTAATTATTTAAAAACTGCGATATAATTAAAAAATATGTGAAGGTTCGTTGTATCAGCTGACCGTAAAGAATGAACAAAAAGTGTGGCTGATATCATCATCGTCCATGTTTTTATAGACATATTGTGGAATGGAACGTGAATTCCAGAAAGTGAGAGGATTATTAGTTCTGTTATAGCTTTGATAGATGTAGGGCACACTTGAATATTATATAAGATATTTTGTGGGAAAGAGACAAGTGGTAAAACTTTTTAAAGATTCTTCTCTAGTATAAGAACGCGTTGAATTTTATCACAACATACGGTTTTTACCACCCAACTCGACAGGTGGTCTTTCTTTGTCGCACTTCAAATCAATTTATAGCACTATCTTTCTCTATTTCACCGTCGCATTTAATCGAGCTTGCGCCTTTCATTTGTTCAACTCTGTTTGGTATCTTAAACTAGTGTACACTAGATTCACTAGATTACAGTTATCTTACACTGTAGCATGTAATAGAATCTCCAAGGTAATACCTGTTTTATTAGAGTTTCATTTTTAATCCTAATGTGTCGTAAGTTTTGAAATATAATTAAAATTTATCTTGAACAGTCAATCTTGTTGCTTTTTTCTTTTTAATATATTGCAATAGTTCCATGAGAAAGAGCATTGTATAAAAATAGTTAAAATTAATTATTTGTGGGTAATAAAAATATAAATTTATTATATTTTTGTTTTTTTTAAATGAGTCAATAGTATCCATAAGATAAAATACTCAATTAATTATTAAAAAATCTGTGTTTACAGTGGAATTATTGTTTTTCATAATTAGTTTTTGAAAAAACGTAGTTATTTTTATCTTTATCTTAGCAGATAAACTCAATTTTAAACAGTTAATTCGAATTTGGTATTAAATAAAATATAATTATATATTATTTTGTTTTATAAACAACATATTTATCTAGAGTAAATGTATATACCTATATGTACATAGTGGTCCCGTGAAAATTGACTTTTTTCTCAGTTATTGTTCGAAACATGAAAAAAAGTAGAAAGTTCTAGGAACTAAATATTTTTTAACACATGTATCGCAAAAACAATTGGATACCTACCTATCTCATTTCCGAGATGCATGCCTAACTTCTGTTTTTTTTTTTTAATGGAATACCCTGTATGAGCTTTTCAAAAATATATCATGCATACATGACAATTGTCTTTTACGGTTTTCAAAATATTACGTAGTTATTATTATTATTACTGTATTGTCATGAAACATGAGATATTTTTAAAGAAAATATATTTTTTCAACAAATAAGTAATATATTAAATGAAATATATGAAATTAAATATTTTTAATTAGGAATACGATTTTTAACAAATGAACATTTCATGGCTTGCTATTATATAGTGATGTTGCATACCTATTAACAATAAATATGTAATATCTTGAAAACCGTAAACGATAAGTACCTATCATGTATAATATATTTTTGAAGAGCTCATTTGACGGCCTTTATAACGGCATAAAGCTCTCTATTTCTCAAAATTATCAAAAATTTCTGTGCAGAAATCATAGATGCCACAACAAATTGTGGTCCAAACACAAATTTAAAAAAGTATAGATTGCCCCGTCTTATGTTTCCTATATACCAATAGGCTCTAGACACTTTAGTGTGAC